GCAGATGCTTCCCATATGCTATCCATTTCTTCTTTCTGGAGGACTCCGATAAGGTGTTGGTTGGAGATACATGGAAGTGAAATTAAAGTTTATTCTGTAAATCAAAGGGCCAACAGGTGTTCGGCACCTTAAAAAAAAGGGAGACCAAAAAAGATATTTCAATGTATTGCTAGAACACAGTCGCCTAATTTATTCTTCATATGAAGGATTTTATTGTTAGTCTTTTTTTCTCTCTCTTGAAAAACAACAACATTGTAAATATTTAAGTAAAAGAAAAAAGCGCCACACCAAGTTTCTTGACATTCACCAGTCTAGAACAAAAACACAAAAAAACAAAAAACAAGAATGCCAAAGTACATTTCTTTGCATTCCCCACTCCATAAAAAAGAAGGGAAAGGAAAAAAAAACACTCGAAAAAAGAAGCCAAAAATAGTGTGAATACCTAGGTAACATAAACACCGAGAGTACCAAACAAAACCATCGGGAATAAATTATCTTTTGTCCTCATTTTACAGCAAGTCGCCGGTTTCCCTCACACCCTGCCCCAAGGACAAGAGCCGCATGAACTCAGCCTCGAACACCCAGCTCACCCAGACCAGCACCGGGGTAAACAAAGGGCTTCAGGTGCTCCTCGACGCACAGGTGAAGGAGTATGTGACCACCACCAGAAGAATGTGGTTCTGGTGATGTGATACATTTTTTTAAAGCCAATTATTGAAATTCATAAATTTCTTCTGCGCATATACAAATAGATTGGGATACCTATTAACATAACTGTTAATGTATTAATGCATTCGAAAACGTCTCGACATTTCAGAAGCAAAAAATCTCTCGTACAAAAAATATACCATAGAACAAAAATGATAACCCAAAAGAGTTCGATGCTAATGCAAAAAGAATTAGACAACCATCTTATTATAAGGAACAAAGTAAACACTATATTTATTTTCTCTTAGATATTTCTTCAGGAGTCGCGGACGCCCCCCGGTCTGAACAACGAGGGTATTGTCGTGTCTCCCGGAAACGAGGTCTTCATCCCAGTAAGGGCGAGCTCAACCTACACGACCGCTGCCGCCCTTGGACTTCAGCCAAGTGCTAGGAGGTGTGTGCTCTCTTCTTTTGCTTAGTTTGCTTCGTCTTCATCTTCTTCAACTTTTTATCTTCTTTTTTTTTTTTTGCCTTTTCTTCTTTTTTCATCTCCCTTTTAGAGTTCTTTTTCTTCTTTTTTTTGTTTTATTCTCTTTTTTCCTTTCCTTCTCCTCCTTCTTCTCCTCCTCTTTCTTCTTCTTCTTCTTCTTCTTCTTCTTCTTCTTCTTCTTCTCTTTTTCTTTTTCTTTTCTTTTCTTTTCTTTTCTTCTTCTTCTTCTTCTTCTTCTTCTTCATCTTCTTCTTCTTCCACTCCCTCTTCTAACCATAATTAATCCCTAAGCCACATTTTGCTGTCGAAGTCATGAAAATAAATCGAGCCCGTAAAATCTACCACAATCTCACTAATCCCCTTTCCACGTAATATTCAAGGTGCTTTACTGACAACGAGAAACGGCTGCTTCACTACCCTAATTATTATTCCTACGAAGCTTGCAAGAACAACTTCATTGCAGAGAAAATGGTGTCTCATTGCCAATGCAGGGATTACCATATGCCAGGTTCGTGTGCAGTGTTTTTAGTTTTTTTGTTTTGTTTTGTTCGAACCGCTTTGTGTAAGAAGCTAGTAAGCATGTTCATTTGTGTATTTAGAGTGTATGTATGGATATTTAGAGAGTGTATGTGTGTTTGCAGAGTAATTGTATGTATGTTTAAAATCAGCATGTGTTTGTATATTTTAGTGTGTGTATGTGAATTCAGAGCATTTGTTTCTACACGTAGTGTGTGTGTATACGTATTTAGAGTGTTTGGGTACTAAGAGCGTGTATATGTATATTTAGACTATAGGTAAGCATCATTAGATTGAAATGCATGTACTCTAAAAGTAATTAGTAATATAAAATAATATATATTTTCTTATAGGCTCGGAAAGAGTATGTATTAGTCGAGAGGACTTGGAATGCTTACAACACGTATTCAGTAAGTACAAATGACACCCTTTCCCCCCTTATCCAGATCTTATTGGGCACTTTTATCTGATAATATGGCTCTGGTGCCTATCAAAATAACCTCAACTCTAAGAAGAAATTGATTTACAATATTCAATATTATGAAAGTCTCTTGGAAAAATAACATGAAACATATATCTTATCTAGCCATGCGTGAGAAAAAAAAGAAGATAAAATAGTAATAAAATAAAGATAAAAAAACAAAAACAAAATAAAATAAAGATTAATAAATGAGTAAACAGATGATAAAAAAACACGTCTCCATTACAGGTACTTTCGAAAATTCCTACGCCTTCGAAGACTACTTACACAAGAACTGTTTTCCAAGGTGTAATACTACTTCTTACACGACAGCCCCTACTTACGGGGCTATGTTGCGGAGTCAGATTCAAGATCCTTTCGTGGGACCCAAGCATCTTGTGCCTTTGATCAAAAAATTGTGTGATCGAAGCTCCTCTGATGTTGAGATTCAGGTAATGAGAAAAGAAATTAGATAAAATAGATTAGATCCAGGTAATGAGAGAAAACAATTAGAAGGGCTGATTATCTTTATTTTTTCTGATATGTACTATTAAGAGTGTATTATAAGAGTGTTTATTCATTGTAAGAGTGATTTGTTTATTTATTGATATGTTTATGAAAGTTTATCATAAAGAATATTTATTATAAGAGTGATTTATTTATTTTTATGACTATAGGAGCTTATCATAAGAGCATATTATCATTTGATTTATTTAATTAATCATATTTTGCGAGTATGAAAGTATAAATATGTAAAGAGTAGATCATAATAGTATTCAATATAAATGTAATTCATTTATCTTTATGACTATGAAAGTACATCATAAAGAATATATAAGAGTGTGAGAGATATGTAGTAAATACAGTCGTTCGTCTTAACCGTTTTCGACAGAATATAACGAGAGGTCTTTGTCACATCAACACAACAGAAGACGCAGAACATATGCTGGCAGATTTTCCTGACTCCTTCACGGGTGTCTTGGATTATTTCATGTGAGTTTTCCTTCGTAATTTTCATGATACTTAGGAAAATAGATGTCTTTTTTAGTTTATGTCTATCTATTCATCTCTTTAGTTGATTTAGGAACTGGATGTTTTTTTTTTTTTTTAGATGTTTATGTCTATCTATTCATCTCTTTAGTTGATTTAGGAACTGGATGTTTTTTTTTTAGATTTTTGTTTTATCTATTCATCTCTTAGTTGATTTAGGAACTGGATGCTTTTTTTTTTTTTTTATGTCTATCATCTCTTTAGTTGATTTAGGAACTGATGTTTTTTTTTAGATGTTTCTGTTATCTATTTCTTCTTTAGTTGATTTAGAACTGATGCTTTTTTTTTTTTTTAGATGTTTATGTCTATCTATTCATCTCTTTAGTTGATTTAGGAACTGGATGTTTTTTTTTTAGATGTTTATGTCTATCTATTCATCTCTTTAGTTGAGGGTCTATCTATATATTAGTGTGGGTACTTAGATGTCTCCTTGTCTAGGTTTCTATGTATCTATTTATCTTTCTATCTCCATATATGTCTATCGGTCACTCTATAGATAGGCAATAGATATATGAATACATACATACATATATACATACATTCATTCATATTTTCATTCATGCATACATACATATATACATACAGTCACGCTCAAAACTTTAGTCGAACTAATTTCAAATCCTGTTTCGAACTCCCGACTAATAAAACACTTTTTCTTGTAATATAAGACAGACTCAAAACTTGTTCATTACTTTTTCTTGTAATATAAGACAGACTCAAAACTTGTCATTACTTTTCTTAATATAAGATCAAAGCTTCAGTTCGTTAAAAGACTTTTGTCCGGCACTACGATAGAAAAACAAAATTAATTATACCTGGTATTGTAACTAGATTTTTTTTTTCTTTCTTTCTTTTTTTCTTTTTTTTAGGGAAAATATCGCGCTAGTGCATGTATACTTCGGACAGTCGACTGGTACCCATTATAAGAAGAATGTGAACGCAACTCCAAGCCAAATCGTCGGTAAGTAAAGATACTTTATTGTTCCAGTTGATAGATATCCTCACTTTATTAAGCAATCTCTAAATAACTGATGCATTGACTCAGTTTAGTATTTGAATATTATCTGAATTATTAGGGTAGTTTTCAAGGTATCGACATCGATATAAGAAACCATTTATATCAAACATCAGAAGAGTTTTGATTTAGTTTTTTTTGGAAGCATCAGTCTGAGTCTTTATATAATGGTACGCCTGACCCCGCCTGTTATCTGTTAAAATCCTACTTATTTCCCAGTATTCAACTTATGTAAATGCATTCATTCCGAAATTATACATAGTTTTAAATTTAAATCAAAGTAAAAGGAAATTAGGTAATACAATCGGCATATCAAGTAACTTCAACAGATTGTGTAAAACATGTGAATACTGTTTTTTTCTCTTGATTTTTAACTCAAAAGCAAGGCTCTATGCTGCCAATCAAGGGGCCTTTTCTTACATTTTCTCTCACAAGCAAACTGTTCAGAATAAGCTTTAGATATAGATAAAATATAGATACATTTGTAATATACAATACATTCAATTCGCAACCATCTAATCGACCAAGATATGTGTGGCCAGAATATACTGCAGAAAAGGAAGTTATACGTAATCACTGTAGCCAACATAGTAATGAATATGAGGATTGCAACGAAGCGAGCGCATTCCATATTATTATACCTTTGTCACCGTAATCAATACCTACATAGTAATGAATATGAGGATTGCAACAATGATGACTGTCTCGACGTTGGTGATAGCTATAATGGTAATGACGATAAAAATGGTAATGGTAATAATGACAGTGATAGTAGTAGCAGTAGTAACAAGAATGATTGATGATGATTTTAAAATGGTAATGATACTAATGATTATAAAAATGTTTATGATTATGAAGATAATAATCATAAACATGATGATAATTATATAAATGATACTAATAAGGATAATGATAATAACTAGAAAGCTAAAATGATAATGATTATGATATCACACAATAATAACTGTTGGGAGGATGATAATAGTAATGGTCATAATAATGTTAACAACGATAACAGTAATGAAAGCAGTAACAGTGATAACGATATGAGCAATAATGACAATTATATTTCTGAGAAACACTAAAAGAGTAATCATTATAATCATAATGATGAATGGTCATGATCAATGAAGATAATATGAACTTCTTATAATGCAATGGTTATGATAAAATAAAATCATCAGTAATGATAATAATGTTAATCTCATTTGATCCAAAAGTATTATTATTCATTTTTAACAACCCTTACCCATTACTACACCCCATTAGCTCCCCCTCTCCAATCTTTCTACTACCATACTAATCTTTTTAGCCTTTAACATCTTCCACACCTTACCTTAACCACTGAATTATTTCTACCCTTTTTTCCGTCACAATAGTCTAATCATACCGCTAGGAGCCCTTAGACGTCTACCACATTTATCTCTTCTGACCATTAACCTATTATTCCTCTTGTCCCTTTCGTCACAGGCAACATAGGCGGACTCATGGGCCTCTTCCTGGGGTTTAGTCTGCTTAGCGGGGCAGAGGTGGTCTTCTACCTGCTGGAAATCGCCTTCTCCTGGGTCGCTGCCTGCTTGGGTCGAGGTCACGTGAAACCCAACGTGACCTAGCGGCAGATGAGACGCGAGGGGTTTGGCTGGTTACAGATGACCTTGAGGGAGACGGGGGGGGGGGGGGTTGTAAGGGGTTTCCGTGTGTTCTCGAGAGAGGAATTTGTAGGGGTAGGAGTTTGGTTTGGGTGAGTTATGTGTTTCTTTCTTTTCTTTTCTTTCTTTTCTTTTCTTCTTTCTTTTCTTTTTTCTTTTTTTTATTTTATTTTTCTTTTCTTTTCTCTTTTTCTCTTCTCTTTCTTCTTTTCTTTTCTCTTTCATTTTCTTTTTCTTTCTTCTTTTTTTCTTTTTTCTCTTTCACTTTTCTTTCTTCTTTTCGTTTTCTTTTCTTTAAATACTGCTTATGCGTGAGTGTCTGTGTGTGTGTGTGTATGTGCGTCTGTATGTGTGTGATGTGTGTATGTATGTGCATGTGCGTGTGTGTATGTGCGTGTGGTGTGTGTGTGTGTGTATGTATGTGTATGTGCGTGCGGGTGTGTGTGTGTGTGTGTTTTCATACAAATTGATAGCAGGATCGATAGATGGATGTATACAAAGACTCGTATCCTCACAGTTTACCTGCGTTTAAAGTTTATCCTTCACGCAACGCTAGAGTGAACGCAATTTGTAAAAGTGACAAGGAAGCAATTAGAAACTAATGAACGAATGTTTGCTTGTATTACTTAATGTTATATAAATGATGTCAGTAATGAACTTCACCAAGCAACTTATCGGCGACTGACATGGGCATATATTAACCACTAAGAATGATTACCTCGTTCTTATATGGCAGGCTAATTTTGATTATCATTTTATTATTATTATCATTAGTGATCTAAGATCTATATTCCAAAAGTGTATGTCCAGAAAGGCCGAACTAACAAAGAGATAAATGTATAGCTGTCAACATTAATAAGGACAGTCTAACAGATCTCTACCTTTATGTGATGATGAAAAATGTTGTCGTAAACAATATAATGTGTCATCGATTCGTTGTAATACATGTTTGCTTTGTGTTTACCGATGTCATGAGAGAGAGAGAGGGGGAGGGAGAGAGAGAGAGAGAGAGAGAGAGAGGAGAGAGAAGAGAGAGAGAGAGAGAGAGAGAGAGGAGAGAGAGAGAGAGAGAGAGAGAGAGAGGGAGGGAGGGAGGAGGGAGGAGAGAGAGAGATGAATAACACGGTGTTTCAGTCAACATCGTGACGGAATGTTACATAGTCCAGCCAACTGTGCAATAGAGATGAGATAACGCATGAGATTTTATTTAACATGGAATCTTATTACCCACCACATTGGCAGCAACGCATATTATACACAAAATAGGTTTAATGTGAAAATGAAATGCTCTGACACTCAACTCCTGCTTTCATTTCATCGTTAATCGTTAAAAGGCGTTTCTAGTTAATGACTACCTAAGCTTACTACACAAATCATAATCTATCATTTGAACTACTGCTACTACCTTTTAGTCAAGGGTCATTATTACCCTCACAACCATATTGAACGATTATGATGCCATGCTGAGTAAGGTCTACATTTCTCCCTGTCCAGCATAAAAAAAAACATTATTTTACTTTTTATCCATCGGCATACAGTTCACTTATACAGTTTGTTTAACTGTTAAATTATGCTGCACTATTCTTCTGGCGGTTGTTGATGAGGAAAGCTCTTTAAGCGCACCTGTTATATTTTTGTATTGTGATTATCATTATTGATACCATTGTCATGTATATGATTTGTTAATAAAGCTATGTACAGTTTGTGCTGCAAATATATAATTTTTCACGTTGAAGTGTACTATGATTCACCACACATATAGTCAGATACAATCCACATTACGTGGACACACACACACACACACACCACACACACAAACACACAAACACACACACACACACAAACAACAAACAAAACAAACACACACCAACACAACCCACTGGTCAAGTGATCTGTACTTCACCTACTAGGTATGACCCTGACTGAATGTACTGTGTAAATGTAACAGCACAAGCATTAATGATTTGGTATGTATACACTCGATCAATTGATGATAATAAAGCCATCCGCCAGTCTGATGTTCATTTTATCTATTTATCTATTCATTTGTTTTATTATTTTTTTATTTATATTTCTTTATCGGAGAAACAATATAAATCATATTCATAGATGAGTTTACGGTGCTTTTTCTTAACCTCAACCACGCCATTGACTATGATTGACATCCGTTTAATTTTTGTTATTCAAATTCTTTTTTTTTTAGCTTATGATAATTTGCTTTCAATACTTAAAGATGGTAGAAATGAGCGACAAAAAAATATTCTGATTTCTACCATACAAAGACAATATCTTTCTTTTTTCTTTTTTTTTCTCGTTCGATCTTTCTTTCATGGTTTCTCTTGGTCTTTCTTTTCTTTCTCTCGGTCCTCCTTTCGTTCGTTTTTTTATTTGGTTCCTTCTTCCATTCGCTCTTTCTTTCTTTCGTTCGTTCTCTCTCTTTCTTTCTTTCGTTCTCTTGTTCTTTCATTCTTTCTCCTTTTTTTTTTTGGGGGGGGGGGGGTTGTTTTCCTTTCCTTCCTTCTTTCTTTTGTGTTCTTTTTCTCTTTCTTTCTTTGGTTCATTCCTTTCTCCTTTCACCAATCGACCAGGTGACCATGGCTAATGCTGTTGGTAAAGTCCATTCATACTATTAGTATTAATAGCAAACATATCAAAGAACTACGGCTATCGCTTGGCTTACGGTATCTATCACATACCAGCGCGATGAAGGACCTCATGTGCGGCTCTGTGGTGGTCACTCAGCAGAGCTCCCTGATCGCCTTCGGCAGATCGAACGCGTTCGTGGTCGCCGCCGAAGAGACGCTTCAGGCGGCGAGGAAGAGCCGGACGGGCGGCGCGAAGCAGGCGGCCGCCGCCCGAGGCAGCAGGACCCTCTGCGCGAAGCGAGCGGCCGAGCGCGTGAAGGAGCTGCTGGTCGACGAGAGCGGCGCCTCCAGGACCTTCGGGATCGTCCTGGGAGGCCGCGGGCCCATGAAGCGGCTCCTGCTGGACCAGCTGAGCCCCGAACTCAGCGGCATCGTGATCAAGTCCATGCAGACGGAGCGAGGCAGCCAAGAGGGCCTCCGGGAGCTCATGGAGATGACCTGCGGCAGGCTGCTCCGGCTCCCCGCAGTCCCTAAAGAGAGGACCAGCGGCATCTGGCAGGGTCGCACCAAGGCCCGCAGGCGCAAGCAGCTCGACTACGAGTGCCACATGCACAACCAAATGCATATACATATATATATATATATATATATATATATATATATATATATATATATATATATATATAATATATATATATATATATATATATATATATATATATATATATATATACACACACACACACACACACACACACACACATATATGTATATACATATACATATATATATATATATATATATATATATATATATATATATATATATATATATATATAATATATATATATATATATATTACCACACACACACACACACACACACACACATATGTATATATATATATATATATATATATATATATATATATATATATATATATATATATATATATATATATATATATATATATATATGGCCCACATACATACAGTCATGAATGTCAACAGTACCATCTTAGTTTACAACCACAACTTCAAAATCGTTCATGCAAGGGTTGGAAAAAAAAGTTTCTTCTGAATATTGCATTCGCTTAATCCCATTCATCACTGTTGAACAACGACATTAGTCAGACAAGGGATCGTTAAGTGAGAACTTGTGCCGCCATTATAGGATATTCAGTGACCTTATTCATACCTCTACGGAAGTAATTTTCGGTCTTTTGTGTCCAATTATGTGCATGTGTTATGGTTGATGGACTTTTTCCACGGCATAGGGAGGTGGGATACGAGCGTTAAAGGTAATATACAGACGTATGTTATCATAAGCTGTGCTATCTCTACAAATACGTGAGTAACGTGAGACATTTTGCCTAAGTTAATGAGAATTATAGACCTCATTTCATTGATAATGTCCTTAATCAAATAACCACCGTAAGATCATGAAATATTTGTATGATCAATGAATAAGAAGCTTTTACGTGTGGGCGCAAAGCTAGTACATGTTCCCCCCTTTGACTATTGTAGTGTTCCCCCCTTTGACTATTACAATCGTGTACCTTTAGCAATGGAAACTATTAGGACTATTGGTTCGCCATTCAACTGATAATAAAAATAAATTCGCTGATCAATAACCGCCTGTTTTGTGAATGGGATTGCCTATAAGAGGATCACTGTGTAAAGAATACTCAAGTAAGCCTTGTATGTTTGCGCAGGGCTGTTAGTGGGATATTCTTATGCTTATTCTCCTTCCGTAAGTGCGAATGCTCTGAAGGTGTTTTCATACTATTTGCATGTATACATTTTATATGTACAAATGTATACATACACACGCACTTAAACACTCGCATACACACACACACACACACACATATATATATATATATATACATATATATATATATATATATATATATATATATATATATATATATATATATATATATATATATAATCCACTACGAAAGAACATACCCCTCCCTCCCCCTACCCCCCCCAAATTCCCACCCCCTTAACCACCCCGCTAAAGACCCCCTCAGCGGTCCTTCTCGCTGGCCCGTCGGTTCCAGCTGGTGCACCGACGCCGATTAGTGACGTCAGCGATGACTTGCAGATTCAACGAGGAGCTCACGAGTCGGCTCCGGACGTCGGGCGGCCGCGACTCGGCGAGTTTTTCGACGACTCCGCTACGGTGATCGGGGTGGGGAGGGGGAGGGGGGGGGGTGCCTCGGTCGCTTTTTGGCTTATTCGTTTTTTTTTTTTTTTTTTTTTGTATTTTTTATTTTTTTTGTGTGTGTGTTTTTTTAGGTTTGCATTTTTTTTTATCAGCCTTGTTTATTATTATTATTATTATCATTATTATTTTTATGGTTATTATTTA